TTCCTTTGTAGCTCGAATTGTCATTCTGCTTCCCACCTGATTTGCCTTTTCCATCGCCCTTCTGTTTACCTTTGTAGTTTGATTTTCCATCCTGCTTGGACTTCGACTTTCCTTTTGATTTTCCTTTTGGTGGGCCTTTCTGAGCAAAGCCCTTGCCTTTGTCTTTTCCACCCTTTTTCCCAGCATAAACACGGTCCACCTCCATTGGAGCTGAAGTTGTATCCTCTGAAAAGATCAGTCCACTCCACTTTTGCTGGCTCCTGTCCCAAAGTAGGACATGCTCACGTAGATCCTTGAAGGATGTTGTCTCCTGAATTGCAAGGTTCAGGTGTGTTCGCAGTTGTCCTCCAACACATTTGAGAAGGATAGCTTGTTGAAGTTGGTCTGGAATCGTTGTCCCAGCACGCCTAGCTTCTTCCAGTGCATCTTCAAGTTTCAGAAGTTGAGGTTGCAAAGGTTGTGACATCACCTTTCCTGGAACCCCCTCGTGATCCAATTGAGTGTAGCCGGGCCCCGCCAGCTTCGCGATGCTCATCAATCTGGGCCACGAGAGTCTACCGGGAGTGGGCAAAAGAGGTCAACCATCACAGAATCCACTTTGATCAATGCCGGCTTGGACAAGCGGCCCAGAAGAGTACAACTTTCTCTACGGACCTCCCGCTCCATCAATCGCCCAAGCAATTGGGTTGAACCTGAACACCACCGAGGAAGTGGCACCAGGGCAACCGTTTTACCCGAACCTTATCTCAGCACTGGCGGAGGCTGGTGGGGATGCAGATACACTCTACCCCAAGGACATCGCCACAGGTTTTTTTTTTTGGGGGGTCACCACACCTACATGGACATCACCCGGCATATGGCCAACAAAAGAGGAGTTAAAAGGAGAACCTCCACTGTGGGAAGACCTCCTCCTGCCAATGTGCAGGGATAACTATTCCTCTGCCAAAGATTTTTCATCCCAGGTCAGGCAGACCTTTGTTGAAGAAGTTGACATGGGCATGGTGGAAGGTCCACTCACCCAGGAAGAAGCAGCCCCCAGATGCGGCTGCACTCCAGCTGAACTCTGCCCAGGGCCTCTCGCAGCCATTGATGAAGGCGACAAAATCCGCACGATCTATGATGGCAGTTGGGGTCATGCCAACTCCCACATCCAACAGAACACCGTGGAGAAGACCACTGCCCCCACTAGCATGGACTGCGTCCAGGCCATCCACTGGCTGAACACCACAAGGGAGAAATCCACCGGGGCGGTAGCCTCTGGCACCGACCTTGGGTGGCATCCTTTGCACAAACAGACTACCTGGGCAATCCTGAAGGCGGATGTGTCTAAGGCGCATCGCCGCATCAAGGTCCAATCTAACGAATGGCGTTACCAAGTGGCACAACTCGATGGAGAACGGTGGATCAACAAGGTCGGCACCTATGGCATGGCCAGTGCCCAACCTTACTGGGGCCGAATGGCTGCAGTCCTCCTTCGATTGTGCTACATGAGGTTTCCACAGATTGACTGGGGCTTTGTCTTTGTGGACGATTTCGGCTGGCTCCTTAGAACAGACACGGCCACTGAGGATACATCCAAACTACTCCTCTTCTTAGCGGCTCTGGGGTGTCCCCTGAGTTCGCACAAGACAGTGCTATCTGAGGTGAATACATGGTTGGGATATGTTGGGATTTCAGGTCAACCCCTGTGGACCGGTGGTGGATTTCCCCAAGGAACAAGCCTGGTGGTTTTAGGGTTTAGGATTTAGGGTTTAGCGTTGAAAACCCTTCCAAGGAACAAACCTGGTGGTTTCACTACAAGACCCCCCTTGAAGACCACCCTTGGGCTCACAAAGACGGAGACCCAACAAGGCGCATAGCAGCCCTGGAGATGTTCGGCACGTTGATTCTGACCCACTTCCTTTTGACTCTGGGTGGGAGGTCATTGCTCCGCACTCGACTCAGTCTCATTTCTGATAATCAAGGCAACATTTTCGCCCTCTTGAACCAGAAGACGAAGCACATGCCAACATCGGCTCCCCTTATGCAGCTCATCGTCAGGATCCATGCTGCAGGGGTTCAATTGGCACCTTCGCACATGAAGAGGGACTACAACCGATGGGCCGATGAACTTTTTCATCCCAATTTCACTGGCTTTCGCCCTGACCGTCAACTACCAGTGAGTGAGGCTTTTTCCCATTTTAAATTTCTGTGGGCTCTTCTGGATGACCAGACACTTGCCCCTAAACCTTCGGGTAACACTTCCAAACGTCGTAAGACCGACTACAACGCCACCTAAGGTCCACTGGAGCCAGGTGGCCGCGGCTGACTTTCTTTTGACAGTGGTGATTTCCCACCTTAACAACCCTTTTTGGATTCTCCTTTGCGCGAGCTCAACGCTCCGGCGGGTTGGGTGGATTAGACGTGTGACACCACCACTGTATCTTGGGGTTTCAGATGAAACCAGTTTTGTGATTGATGCGTTTGGCATCTGACAGAAACCCAGCCGCACAAGCCAACTGCATAGCAAAAGTGCCGCCAGTTTGCTGCAGTTGCTTGTGTTTGGTTTTTGACATTTTCAATTCTATTCGGGAACACAAAAAGATAGATAGATATAGATACAGATATATAGATATAGATATAGATAGATAGATAGGTAGATAGATAGATAGATAGATAGATATATATATATATATTGTAGAACCCCCGTTTGGCTTAAGACTGCTTTTGCCGTTTTGGTGCAGGAGGGGGGAAGGGTATTGATGCACGGCTGGTGCGCGGAAAAGGAAAATAGGGGCAAGGGTGGGTCTGGGAAGGGAAAAATAGGTGCGGGAGTGGGTTCTTGCCAATTTATGGATTCAGTCGGGATCTCGTCGGGATGCGATTTTTTTGATTTTTGGGCACCGCTTTTGGCCAGTCGGGATCCAGTCGGGATCCAGTCGGGATCCAGTCGGGATCCAGTCGGGCACCAATGTCGGGAGGCAGCCAAATTCACAAAAAAATAGCATTTTTGCAGTGTTTTTGCGCGTTTTTCGGTGATTTTGCCAAAACTTCGAGAATTGGTGCCCGACTGGATCCCGACTGGATCCCGACTGGATCCCGACTGGCCAAAAGCGGTGCCCAAAAATGCAAAAATTGGTGGCGGATTGGGTCCCGACTGGGTCCCGACTGGGTCCTGACTGGATCCCGACTGGGTTTCTTCAAAAAAACACCTATTTCCCTAAATTTGAGCACCTATTTTTGAAATTTTAACACCTTGCCGTGCACCACCCCCCCCTCCGTTTCCCCCTCCGGACCCCCTCCCCCACCAGTCTTGAGCCAAACACGGGCAACTCAAGATATATAATTGAATACTGTATTATGAGAGAGGGAGTGCCATTTAGTTTAAAAAGTTTAGAAGACATAATAACAGAAAAAAAAATAAGAATTATTATCTTTAATTTATGAAGAAGTAGAAGATGATTTAAATTATAGAGTTAAACTTGATATTGAAATCCAATTAGTGGCAAAACTCCCAGAAAAGGAATATGGAGAAAATGAATTTAGTTATAGAGAGATTTATTTTATGAATGACTTTGATGAATATGTAGATGAAGATAATGTAGATGAAATTTTAGAGAAAGCAGTTGAAGAAATAAAAACCGACATAGAAGACCAAGATAAAGATAGTATAATAGGAATACAGGCATTTCATTTTAAATTAGTAATTATTGAAGACATTTACTACTAACATATTTCTAATAATATTTATTAGAATTATGGATGATTAAGATAGGAATATTAAAGGTGAAGGGTATTGTTGTCCTTTGTTTTTTTTTTATATGTTGTTCTTTGCTTGGTTTGTTTTTTTGTTTGTTGTTTGGTTGTGTCGTTTTGGGTATGAAATGGATGAGGTGATGATGTATTGGCTGTTGTGATTTTTATAGAATGGATGAGGTAATAGATGGTTAGTAGTTATGATTTATGAAAATGAATGAGATGATGATATAGGTGGTAGTGATGATTTTGTGAAAAATGAATGAGGTGATTGATGGTAGGTAGTGATGATTTTGTTGTTGTTTGTTGATTGTTTTGTTTTTTGGTTTTGTTATTATGCTGTTATGGTTTTATGGCATTATTCTTTGAACTGTTGTGATTTTGAAAAATGGATGAGGTAACTATTCTTTGACTGTTATGATTTTCATTATAGTTTTGATATTGTTGAAAAAATGAAGCAATCAACAATATTAAAAATCTGTGCTTAGACTGTTATACTTGAAATTAAAAAACTTCTATGAACTGTTGTTTTATACATTTTTCCCCTGTGTCGCTGGAGACACCCTGAGCCGTAACCTTCAGACCATACCAAAAACAAAGAGGAAAGGACGGCCCTGTACAGCCAACTAAGGTGCGACCATACACGCGTACGATGAACTGGCCGCATGTTTTTGCGAACCCTGCTTCTTGCTTTGAATCAAATTCAGCGGCAGTGAACTCTTTGATCTTCGCATGGGAAAGGGTTATTTTGAAAATTGTTTGCAGTTATTAGAAACTATAGACATGACGAGAGGCTTACGATATTTTTATTGCATGATTTTGAGCACGGCAGTTTGAATCTTTATGTGAGGAGGTTTCGCTGTTGTTATGATTCAGGTCGAAATCATTCCTTTGATTCCAGTCAAGATTATTTCTTTGATTCCAGCGCCATGATCTTGCGGCATGTTTTGGCTCTGGTCAACAGCGGAAGGGCACACAAAATTGCGACTTGCAGACAGCAAAAAAAATTACACAGAACAGTCAACCAAGCTAAACGAAGTAACGTGACTTCGTCCTGCCCAACTTGATGTTTGTTGACACCATGGTTCCTCATCAAAACGCCTTTTGTCATCCTAACTATGATTCCGCAACCCCCACCTTTTGCACAATGAACATGAGTGAACGACGACATTTTGCACTTCTTTGTGTGATTTTGAATGGTTAAAAGGGGAAAAAACATATTGTAAAGATGTAGCATATATGTAACATATCCACACGTTGGGCCACTTTACTGGTGCGGCACCGTGCCCGTGTGCAGTGAACATGTTGCAGCCTTTGCAGTTGCCGAGAAGAGCCAGGTCGTGGGACCCCAGAGGCTCCAGAGGCATCGAAATTCTGAAACCCAAGGTGCGAAACGTGGACGTGGACGAATCGAAATTGGCCGATATGTTGAGGAGAGCAGATATGAAACAATCGAAGGAAACAACTCTTTCAAGACATTCACCGCAGACTTTACGTTTGACTCAGTCCTGTGCATTTTTAGGCGGCATGACGGGCATGACGGGCATGACGGGCATGACGGGCATGACATCGAAATTTTCACCGGCAGCCTCTTTCCGCCAGCCCAACCGATCCATCATGGCCCGCCTGGCCCGCCAGAGCCCGTCCCCAAAGCATCGGACCTTTGGACCTTCCCAAGGCATCACTCAGGGCATTTTTTACCTTCCTGAGATCCCCAGCACCCCAGTAGAGAGGCAGAAACCCGAGAAGGCAAAAGATGAAAAAATTGTTCCGAAGGTAACATCCAGGATCAGAACCAGACAGCTAGATGGGCTGCAGGAATTTTCGTTGGAAGCCACGAGAAGTATCTGGGACTTGGCAGCACAGGAGGTGCGCAATGGTCGTCATCGCCCTAGTCACGATGAAGACAGGGTCCGCCAAGCCAGTAACACACAGGGCACCAACCGATTTCAGACCTTCGTGCAGCAGTCTGGTCCGGGCGTTCCAGAATTATCTCACCGTGTCGGGCTCCCTCAGCAAGTTGCCAAGGAGGCTGCTCATCTTTTTCAACGCTTTGCTGAGATACCAAAAGGTGGAACTATTTTTGACGGGAAATTGCAGATTTCACAGCTCACACAGGTTCTGGTGGCCTTGTGCGATGTTTCTGATGCATCAGAATTGGATAAGAAATTTGTAGATCGCGCATTTCGGGCTGCAGATCGTGACTCAGGGGGTTATATTGACATCGAGGAATTTGCTATTTGGTATTCCTCTTTTTGCTTCGCGGAGGAGGTGACCGTTAGACCTCAAGTCCGACAAACCCGAGAATTAGCACGACAGATGGGTCTCGAAATTTGGGCCATTGAGAAGTTCAGAGTAGCCTTTGACAAATATGATGCCGATGGATCTGGTGAGATCGAGTTTGATGAGTTTTCGGATATGGTCCAGGAATCCAACGGAAAACGGCAGGGGTGTTCAGGGTTTGATTGATATTTGTAAAAATTGTATTTTGTTCACAGGTCACAGGATCTGTGGTATGTGATAGTGCAATGTTCATGATCAAACTTAGCCTGGGCGTTTGAGTAGCTTCTTCAAACTTATCCACATTACTTCTGGGGCCAGAGGAAATGTGGCAGATTGTTTGTGCTATAAGACCAAGAAATGTTGGAACTTCTTTGAAATCATTGGTTGGGGTTCCGTGGGGTTCCCATATTTCATGGTATTTTCAGTCTTTCAGTCTTTCCGTTCAACATGGTTCCGGCTGCCAGGAACTCTTGAAGATCCCCACAGGCCATGAACTTCCACATGACCGGTTGATGACAATGTGGCGAACCGCCGATGTGCAGCAAAAAGGTGGTTTGGCCAGAAGTATTGTGCTTGAGACCTGGGATCGTAGATATGGTAGAACATAGTTAGCCGGCATCTACATGCACATGCAGATGAATGCAAAAAAGATGCAAAAGAGACGTCACTAGAGATGACTCATGTAAGCATTGTGAATATTACATTCAATATCATTCAATTAATTTTTGTTTTTACTATCAATGTCAATGGATCGGCTTTCTCTTGGTTCTATGGGGTGATCATGGTGATCTATGATCCCTATAAACCAAGTGGAGGTTTCGGTGGGACGCCATGGGACGCCGAGGTTATCTCGACTTCCGGGAGTTTTGTTTCTTCTACGTTCGCATGGTCTCGATGGAAGAAGGCTGCGACCCCATCAGAGATTACTACCGTAACGTGAGGAATGTTCCAGTGGCCCCTCTTTGATCTTTGAATATCCTGAAATATCCTGAAATATCCTGAATTCGAATGTGCCATACTGATGCATCACGAGATGTCGAAAGCCAACTCGGTATCAAGTCTGGCGAGCCGATCGAGCCGATTTTGCATGGGAACAGGGCCATGGCCACACTGTCGTGGGAAGCACGTAGCAACCGTAGCAACCACACCTTTCGGCAGTTCTTGTATGCTTAGCGGGGGGTACTGGCAGCAAGCCGGGCCCACAAGTTTCGGCCTTGGTGGACTCTTGGTGAACATCACTCGACGCATGATGCGTTTTGACATGTTATGTTATGTGATATATGTGATATATGTTATGATGATTGCTGATTGCTGATTGCTGATTGATGATTGCTGATTGCTGATTGCTGATTGCTGATTGCTGATTGCTGATTGATGATTGCTGATTGCTGATTGCTGATTGCTGATTGGTGATTGCTGATTGCTGGTTGCTGATTGATGATTGCTGATTGCTGATTGATTGCTGATTGCTGATTGATTGCTGATTGCTGATTGGATTGCTGATTGCTGATTGATGATTGCTGATTGCTGATTGCTGATTGCTGATTGCTGATTGCTGATTGCTGATTGCTGATTGCTGATTGCTGATTGCTGATTGCTGATTGCTGATTGCTGATTGATGATTGCTGATTGATGATTGCTGATTGCTGATTGCTGATTGATGATTGATGATTGCTGATTGCTGATTGATGATTGATGATTGCTGATTGATGATTGCTGATTGCTGATTGCTGATTGATGATTGCTGATTGCTGATTGCTGATTGATGATTGCTGATTGCTGATTGATGATTGATGATTGCTGATTGCTGATTGCTGATTGCTGATTGCTGATTGATGATTGCTGATTGCTGATTGATGATTGATGATTGCTGATTGCTGATTGCTGATTGCTGATTGCTGATTGCTGATTGCTGATTGATGATTGCTGATTGCTGATTGCTGATTGATGATTGCTGATTGCTGATTGATGATTGATGATTGCTGATTGATGATTGCTGATTGCTGATTGATGATTGCTGATTGCTGATTGCTGATTGCTGATTGATGATTGCTGATTGCTGATTGATGATTGATGATTGCTGATTGCTGATTGCTGATTGATGATTGGTGATTGCTGATTGATGATTGCTGATTGCTGATTGCTGATTGCTGATTGCTGATTGCTGATTGCTGATTGCTGATTGCTGATTGCTGATTGCTGATTGCTGATTGCTGATTGATGATTGCCGATTGGTGATTGCCGATTGGTGATTGCTGATTGCCGATTGCCGATTGCCGATTGCTGATTGCCGATTGATGATTGCTGATTGCCGATTGCTGATTGCCGATTGCTGATTGATGATTGATGATTGATGATTGATGATTGCTGATTGCTGATTGATGATTGCTGATTGCTGATTGCTGATTGCTGATTGCTGATTGATGATTGCTGATTGATGATTGCTGATTGATGATTGATGATTGCTGATTGCTGATTGCTGATTGGTGATTGCTGATTGCTGATTGCTGATTGCTGATTGCTGATTGCTGATTGCTGATTGATGATTGCTGATTGATGATTGCTGATTGATGATTGCTGATTGCTGATTGCTGATTGATGATTGCTGATTGATGATTGCTGATTGCTGATTGATGATTGCTGATTGCTGATTGCTGATTGATGATTGCTGATTGCTGATTGCTGATTGATGATTGCTGATTGCTGATTGCTGATTGATGATTGCTGATTGCTGATTGATGATTGATGATTGCTGATTGATGATTGCTGATTGCTGATTGCTGATTGATGATTGCTGATTGCTGATTGATGATTGCTGATTGCTGATTGATGATTGATGATTGCTGATTGCTGATTGCTGATTGCTGATTGATGATTGATGATTGCTGATTGATGATTGCTGATTGGTGATTGCTGATGGCTGATTGATGATTGCTGATTGATGATTGCTGATTGATGTTTGCTGATTGCTGATTGATGATTGCTGATTGCTGATTGCTGATTGATGATTGCTGATTGCTGATTGCT